GTGAGGGAGGAATGGGGCACGAGCCCCCGATGGGGAGGACTGGGCTGGCTCTGCGGGCTTTTGGGGTGGAAGCTCTCCTGCAGTCCCCCAATTGCCTCTCTCCCCAGATGGCAGCCTGCGGCAAGTGCAGCCGGTCTGATGGCCGAGTGCTGTGATGTGCCCAGTGTGGGTACTCAGGGCACTCCAAGCCAGGACTGCTTTGCAAGTGGGGCACCCCTGAGAACTGTCTGTCCGGGGTGGGGGTCGGGTCCCTTTAAGCGCAGCCCTCGGCTAGCCTGAGACAGCATCTCCACGCTCTAAGTCCTCCTCTGATGCCCTGCCGGCACTGCTTCCGGCCATCCTTAAGCCTGGTTCAGGGTCCACTTAATGTGGACATGCTAGTTCGAATTAGCAAAACGCTAATTCGAACTAGTTTTTTAGTCTGGATCCGTTAGTTCGAATTAGCTTAGTTCGAATTAACTAATTCGAACTAAGTTAGTTCGAATTAACGTTGTAGTGTAGACGTACCCTTGGAGGGGAGGTTGTCTCATAGTGACTTGTTAGGCCTTTCCCTGAATCTGTGGCTTGCCTTGGGAAGACAGCTGTTGTCTCTTTCCCAGACTCTGAGGCCCCCTTTCAGGGTTTTGGCCTTGTTTTTGTGTGTGAAACTCATGATGAGGGTGTTCAATTACGACTACCCGCCTAGTGTTATGCTACTTTGGCTCCTTTCACTTGTGATACACAGGTGAGGCTGTCTTCTATATTTTTCCTAGGCCCCGTTGCCTGTTGCTGTCTAGGCCTCATGCCTCTGGCCAGCTTAGCCAGAGACCATGGTTCAGAATCTTACCCACATGTTAATGTTAATGGGCCTTTGCTATTTTATCCCTACAGTGGATTTCATGACAGGATATTGAAAACACTATTAAGCAGAAGTAGATTCATTACATATTATACAATTAGTAATTAAAAGGCTGTTTTCACTAAGTCACTTACTATACAGATATATAACACAAAGCATATTGGTTTCTTGGCAGAAAGACTAGATGAGTGAGTACTGATTGTATCAATGATATGTAGGGAATAATATAGGGCATTGAGGCTCTCTATTCAGGCACAGGTTAAAAACAATACGTGATCAAGTGGTACAGGATGGCTATAGGATTGGCAATTGCTGTCATTAACATTGTCCGTGTTTCCATTATGCCCCCTTTTTCATACATAACTTCGTGAGACGTTCACAATCCTGGCCTCTCTGAACTATAGAAATTCTGCCATTAACTTCAGCACAGCCTCAATTTCATCCCTGCTCTCAGAATGTGGTTGTTTGTTGTGGTTGTTTGTTTTCTGTAAGTAATTCTGCAGTGTTTGACTCAGAGGAGAGTGTAGAATAATGTACCTATTGATCATGTTGTTATAATTAAGTTGTTGTTATTATCAATAACTATTAATGGTGGCAGTAATTTCACAGTACAGGACAATGTAGCACTTTAAAGACTAACAAGATGGTTTATTAGATGATGAGCTTTTGTGGGCCAGACCCACTTCCTGAGGAAGTGGGTCTGGCCCACGAAAGCTCATCATCTAATAAACCATCTTGTTAGTCTTTAAAGTGCTACATTGTCCTGCATTTTGCTTCAGCTACCCCAGACTAACACGGCTACATCTCTATCACTAATTTCACAGTGGCACCTAAAAATCTCAAATCTGGGATTTGTGTTCCCTTTAGGAATGTAATTGTGTAGTCAATTAACTGATTAAACAATAAGCAAAAGCTTATCGGTTAATGCTATAGACAACATGCATTCCCCCACCTCCTTGCAAATAAATGTTTTAGCTGGCTGGCCAACATCCCGACTCAGTCCCGACTTGCACTAGGTCTGGGACCTACTCCTGCTTTGGCTCTGCATTTAAAGTGCATTAGGAGCTGGGCAGGCAGGCAGCCCAGCTGCCTGGAGCTCAGGACTCCTCCCTCTCCCGCCCTACTGCTGCCATCCCACTCTGTTGCCTCTGTATCAGTGGTAGCAGCACAGGATGACAGGCAGCCAGTCCATGAGGGGAGCTGTTTTTTTAACTGGTTCCTCTCATGGACCAGCTCTTGCCTGGCATCTCAAACTGCGGTCTGTTATAGAGCTCCTCGGGAGTGGGCTGGAGCCCACTGGCTGCCGGCCCCAACCTTGGGGACTATAGAATAATCAAGTAACAGATAAGAATTCATGAGGTTAATCAGCTCTTCAATTAACTCATATTTAACACCCCTAGTCCCCTTGTGAGGGGCAGAGCACAAGCTCTTACTGAAAAGACAATGAATGCCCCAAATATATTCTTCACCGAGGACAGAGGCTAGAAACCAGAAATTTGATGGGGAAATTACTTTTCTGTAATATTGCCTTGGAGTGCCCTAGTAAAATATGTTGTTTTGTGTAGGTCTAGGGAGTGTATACATGTACGTGCATGCACACGCACACATTACTCCCTGTGAAGCTATCCTTCTCTTCTCTTTATTGTAATAGCATTTTTAATATGTATTTTTAGGGTCCTAGAAAGGCAGGGCTGAAAGGGACTTTCAGAATTCAACAAGTCTAGCTTCCACCTACAAAGAGGCAAGGCCAAGACAACAGTGCTATACAGGTGTTTGCCCAACCTCTCCTTAAAAACCGCCGATAAGTTCTATAACAGGGATCTCCAACACCTAGCCCGTGATCCATCCTTAGCTGGAACAGTTGTGCAATCTGGCCTGGGAGTCCCAGTGGGCCAGGGATGGAGCTGTCTATTCCCATCCTCCAAACCCCACTTCTTCCCACCACTGCCCCACCCTGTCTTCACCACCCATCCCCTGAGGGATGTGGCCTTGGGCTTACCAATGGGGCCTGGTGTAGGACTGCAGTAGATGTCAGGCATCCCTACATTTCCCACAGTAGCAGGAATCATGGGGAAATGGAGCGCACTTGGTGGGTATACTCATTCTGTTGCACTCTGCTTCCCCACCATTCTTTTTACTGTGATGAGTGCAGGTCACTGCTGCTGCCACCCCACACCAGGCCCTCCAGTAATCCTCATAGCTGCTTCTTCAGGGGACAGGGTGTCTTGGAGCGGGGGGAGAGTAGGGTGGTGGAATGGACAACCCATTCCCTCCCGGTCCTACTGAGACTCCTAGGCCAGAATGTACAACTGGATGGCCCACAGGCCAAGAGCGTGAGATCCCTGTTCTACAACATCCATTGGGTGCCTATTCCAGAGTTTAACTATCCTTCTAATTAGGGTTTTCCCCCCTAATATATAATCTAAATATTCCTTGCTGCATGTTGGTTTGAGATATGACAAGTGGAAGGAATATGACGATCCCTTGAAGTAAAGACATTTTACAGTTTGGTGCTAAAAACAATTGTAGATTGTCAAGCACATTAATTTCAAAATATTTATGAAATACTGTAGGAAAAGCTTCTATTGTGGTATTTTGAATAACTACTTTTATATTCAACACTTCAAAATATTGTCCTCTACCTCTGAATTTTGAACACCTTCCTTGCTATTCATTACAACAACATGATTCAGTAACTTCAGTAACATTTGATTCTTTGGTTTTCCCTAGGGTTGTAAAATGCATTTCTACAGTTCACAATTATAGAACACTTGTTGAAGAAATGACAGTTGTTTGCAGTTCTTTCAACCATACTTGGATGAATAATTTTAACTTTTGTTTTGCAATCAAAAGTCAAAAAAGAAGTGTGGAATGTCTCCACAGTTTACTACTCCTGATCAGATAATATTTTTAGGGAAGATTTTATTAAATAAAACAAGGCACCAAATACATGAAGGAAAATTCTCTCTCTTTGTGAGAGATGATTATGATAAAATAAAAAAAATCAGAAGTGTTTAAAATTTCTTCCAGGATACCTTATCATGTTCCTCATGGCCAACATCACCAGGACTTAGATGGGAGAAGAGATGGTGTGATCTCCGATTAATCCCGCTCCTTCATTCCCGTTTTTCCCAATATCTCCCAGGATCAGATCTGTGCAGGTAAATAAGCATGTGTGCTTGAAACTTGTCTTGTCTGTGGATACAGTCTTAATGTTTTAAGTCAGTACTTCAGCTGACAAGATAAATATGCATTTCTCCATAGTCATGGGCCATAGAGCTACGTTATTCTTCAGTCCCCTGACTACTTTTCACAGCTCCGTTAAATAATGATTTCACTGCTGGTTGTGGCTCTCAAGCCAATTTTAATTTATCAGCAACTACAGTTGAAAAATAGTGACCATACTTGAGAGTCTTCCCAAATATTTTGCATTTAAGTTGATTTTTGTTCAGGAATCTTATAGCAAGCTTAATAAGCACATACACATTTTAATGATCTGGACACCCAGATATCTGCTTTCAGGTCTACTAGCAACATACAGCAATGAAAATTTCCTTGTAGGCATCCATATGAGTTTTACTCTAGAAGCTAGGAGGCAGCTATGTACATGCACACTAACCCAGTACATTTCTTTACTTCGGTCTGCCATCTGTGCCTCCCACTAAGACAAAATTGGTCTTAAACAATTAGGAATCATAGTAATTAAAAACAAAATTCTGATTCAATGGTAACAAATCAGTTACCATACAGATTTCAAGATTGTTCAGTATTCCTGATTAGAATATATATATGCTCTATCACAAAATGTTTCCCTTTGCTTTCAAATGGGTTTGTTTTATTTATGTATTTTTGTTATAGTAGGTATTTTAAATTAAACACACATTCAACACGAAAAAATTGAAATGTTTTGAAATGTAAAAATCTTTTTCTTTCTTTCTTTCTTTCTTTCTTTCTATTTCAAAAATAATTCAAAATAGCATGGAAAAATATTGACTTGGCAATGAGCAAAAATTGTGTTTTGGTGAACGGGAGTTCAAAAACAACGTTTAGTAGTGCTGAAGGAACTTAATTCTAATCGGGAATACTGAACAATCTTGACATCTGTATGGTAATTGATTTGCTACCATTAGCATCAGAATTTATATTTTAATTCCTGTGATTCCTAAAAAGCAGAATATGTCCTTTCTGATTTCTGAAAAATACTATGGAAGATAACACTATCTCAAAAAGTCTTATCAGAGGATTATAAATAAAGTATTGATGATTGTAAACACTGAAGCTATTGAAAGCAATATCAATGAGTTGATATTGAAAACAGTCCCGGTATTAAGTGAAAATAAATTATTGGAATTAATTTAAAGGCTATTTTTACTAAGTTGTTATATGATGCCTTTTTATGTGTCAATTAATTAATGTTCGTGTTTTGAAAATTTAGAATGATGCAAAAGTATTAACTAAGTATCATTATTTTATACATCATCCTTATCATGATTGCGTTCTATTTCTAATGGAACAATTTCTGCACAGTTGGAGTATGTCTACACTGCATTACTCCTTTGAGAGAGGAATGGAAATGCAAACAACGAAATTGCAAATGAAGTGCGGATTTGAATTTCCTGTGCTTCATTTGCATAATCACAGCCAGACGCTTTTTCGAAATACCCTATTTCGAGATTAAAAACGAAGTTTAGAGGCGGTTATTTTGAGAAAAAAACCTTTCGAAATAACCCTTACTCCTTAGATTTAAGGGTTATTTAAAAAGAAGGGTTTTTTCTTGAAATAACCATGTCTAAACAGCGTTTTTAATCTCAAAATAGGGTATTTCGAAAAAATGGCCGGCTGCGATTTTGCAAATGAAGCGCGAGAAATTCAAATCCGCACTTCATTTGCAATTTCAGTTGTCTGCATTTCAATTACTCTCTCAAAGGAGGAATGCAATGTAGACATACCCTTGGAGAGGAACATTCTGTATAATTCAGGACAGTGGTCAAAGAGACTTTGACATGTTTTCAATTTTTTTTAAACGCCTCTTAAAAACTTGTATGTAAATGTTTTGTATCATACGTATACTCACATGTGGGATTAATTAAATTCTTGTACACAGCCTTGGTAACATGGATTAAAGTATAAGTTAGTGTAAATAGCAATATTTGCAACATACTAACATTTTAACTCTAAAATAAAGCTGATTTTTTCCTTTTGGCTTATTGATTTAAAAGTTTCCATGATTTCATGCTGTATAAGTCATAGAACCTAACTGCTCAGGCAACTAATTTAATAAGAAATCAACTGGCTGACAAGAGTCTAGTGTTCTGAAATATTTTCCACTTCAAAGAATACAAAAAATTCAAATCAGGATTTTTTCCCCCTATATATCATAAACCATGAGTTTGATTCATTTGTGTCTATGTGGTCATGTATATTAACAAAGGGGTGAAAAATCTTCACTGGGTTTAAAGAAGAGCCTCTGTATCATCTGACCGTTCCCTACTGGATATTCCTTTCTGTGTTGTTCATTAATCTTCAGCCAGGAGAAGGGCTTGCATTTTGTTTTGTTTTTTTAACTCATAACTGGCTTCCCTTAAATCACACTATGTTGTGAATGTGCATGTGTGTTTCTGAGCAGGCTTCAATAGCCTGCTAAAAGGGACTCTCTTTTTTTGTATTGATGTCACGTTCCCAAAAAGGAATTGGATTTTTTTCTCCCATGCCTAAAAGCTATCCAAAATGCAGGACAATGTAGCACTTTAAAGACTAACAAGATGGTTTATTAGATGATGAGCTTTCGTGGGCCAGACCCACTTCCTCAGATCAAATAGTGGAAGAAAGTAGTCACAACCATATATACCAAAGGATACAATTAAAAAAAAGAACAAATATGAAAAGGACAAATCACATTGCAGAACAGAAGGAGGAGGCGGGGGGGTGGGAAGGGGGAGGAAGGAAGGTAAGTGTCTGTGAATTGATGATATTAGAGGTAGGGAGAGTGGGATGTTTGTGAGTTAATGGTATTACAGGTGATAATTGGGGAAACTGTCTTGATAATGGGTGAGAAAGTTCAAAGACTTGTTAAGTCCCTGGTGGTAAGTGTCGAATTTTAACATGAATGACAGTTCAGAGGATTCCCTTTCAAGTGCAGATGTAAAAGGTCTTTGTAGCAGAATGCAGGTGGCTAAGTCATTTAGAGAGTGTCCTTTCTGGTTAAAGTGGCAAGAAACTGTTTTCTCTTTGTGATCTTGTCTGATATCTGTTTTGTGGGCATTAATCCTTTGGCGAAGTGTCTGAGATGTTTGTCCAATGTACATAGCAGACGGACACTTTCGGCACATGATAGCGTAGATTATATTTCTGGATGCGCAGGAATATGTGTTCTTGATCTTATAACTCACTTGGTTAGGTCCAATAATGGTATCAGCAGAATGAATATGTGGACAAAGCTGGCAACGGGGTTTGTTGCAAGGGAAGGTACCAGGGTTGGTATTAGTGTGGTATGTCCTGTGGTGGTTGGTAAGAATCATCTTGAGGTTAGGTGGTTGTCTATAGGAGACTATGGGTCTGTCTCCCAGAGCCTCTTTGAGTATGGTATCCTGTTCCAATATAGGCTGTAGTTTATTGATAATGTGTTGGACAGGTTTAAGTTGGGGGTTGTAGGTGATGACAAGTGGTGTTCTATTGTTGGTTTTCTTGGGTCTGTCTTGAAGTAGATGGTTTCTAGGTATTCGTCTGGCTCTTTCAATTTGCTTTTTTGTTTCTCTGGGTGGGTAGTTGAGATTTATAAATGCTTCAGTTTCCTCGGGGGGAGGAGAGGGTGGCAGGAGCAAAGACTTTGTGCACTCTCCCACCCCTAGACCAATCAGGGTCTGTGGGTGGGGGAACACGGAAGTGTCCTGGCCTGCCCCTTCCCTCCTGAGGCACTTCCAGCAGCCTGGGGCCACTTAAAAAATGATTGAAGGGTCCCCTGGTAAAAAATTATTGCCCACGCCTGGGGTACACGGCCAAAGGTAATGATAGCAGCTCCTCTGCATCTAGAACGCTGGGGTATGTCAGTCCATACCATGTCCCACAGTCCCCATTGAGAACGGTGATCCATGGTCAATGGGAGCTACAAGCACCTGACCATGCCTACTAAAGCTGCAACAGGCACAACTGGAGAAGGAGTGTATATTCCTAGCTGTGGGAGAGATACAGACACACAAAGAGACCAACGCTCTGAAATATATAGTATAGAGCTGTCCCTTTCTCCATCCCTCTCTCCTGCTGGCCCATTGGGGTTATAGCTGTACTGGTCCCATCTCTGACTCCTTGCTTGCCCCCCTGTGGTCATACAGTATAAGTTTCCCTCCTGCCTGTCTCCTCCTTTTCCAGTTTATGAAAAACAATTGAATTATAGGGACATCCCATTGTCCTGGAACAACCAAACCCTTTCTCTAAGTTACGATAAGAGGAAGTTGAATACTAAATTTGTGGGTTTTAGTTCTTATAATTTAGGAGGAGTTCTTGAACAAATGGACTCACAGACAGGCAGACAGACAGATGCACATTTCTAAAATATATAGTAAGCAGAAGATAAGATATAGGATACCTGTATGGCTTTTGCTTACAGTAATAGACATCTTATGGGCTTCCATTGAATTTAATTTATGCTCAAATATTGCAGAAAGATAATATGAATAAATTATTATAGATATGTGATTAGTTTTGAATTTTCCAGTTCTTTCATAAGTAGTTTAGAAAGGGATCATTTTTAAATAAAAACTCTATCCCGTGTAGGAAACAACATAAAGAAAGGTTTAAAAAATGGTTAAAAACATCAGAACTTTGAGGGATGAAATTTTGTGTTGTATTGCATTTCATGAAACCTTGCTTTCAATGTCTCATAACAGACTTCTAACATTTGTACCGTCTAATACTTTTTCTTTTTTACTTTCAAGAAATCCCAGATATTATTGTTTAAATACGGAAATGTATTTTAAAAATGCCCCAGCTATTCTCATTTACTTGGCTTTTGAAGCCAGTCGGGTAAGTGTTTTGAGGAAACTTTGACCAGGAATTCATTGGAAAACAAAATAGTCTATAAGTGATGCAGATGTATCAAAGAGTTCTCTGAACTGGGTGATCATTCAATCTGAAATTTTGAAACCTGGGAGTCTAAAGTTAGTCTCCTAAATCTATATTCAGAACTTAAAACAACTCCCTAAATATGGATATAGGACTTTAACTTTAAATAGTCAGGTTTGATAGTGTTGGTCAAGATTTTTAAGCAATCATTCTTATCTTCTGCCATATATAGAAGTTAAATATAAACTCTGTTCACCTGTGATGACAATCATTTTAATTAAATTTATTATTTATAAAATGGGAAAGCCACTAAGATATGAGTTCAACAGTTGACCACTGTGATTGTGAGGCTTGTATATGTGTTGCTAAGATGTTATGTTAGCACAGATGACTTTTTCTTCTGATCTGATCTGTTATGACATGTCTGTAGGCAAAACGCATTCCAAGTAATTGCTGTGGATGGAGTTTGTAGTGGAATAATTCAGTCTCTTTCTGCTGAAGACTGTATGGACTGGCTACAAGCAATAGCAACTAACATTTCCAACCTCACAAAGCACAATGTAAGTATGGATCAAAGAGGTTCAGTTGATTTCTACATCATATTTGATCACAGCTATTGTAAAAATGCCTTATAGGTTTAAGCATAGCATGATCTGTGCATAAACAATGGATGAGATTACCCCCAAGGATGTCAACTCATGCTATCATACAATCAGACTTTTTGAAAGCTCTTTGCAGGAGAAATTATTCTCTCCCCAGCTATAGTCCATCTCACCACTATCAGGATTATTTGCTTCTTAGTAATACAGAGTGTTCCCTGTAAAATGTGTGCTTGTGTGGCCACTCAGGAGAGGGAGTCAAATGCTATCCATATGATTAGCAGGGCTCCCACAGCTAGGTTTTATTTCTACTGGTGGTGCACATTCTACATGCATCAGTGCACATAAAAATTATTCTGTCCCTGGATGGAAAAAATTAGAGTGGTGTTTCCCAAAGTGGTCTGCAGATTCACTCTGAGGAACCTGCTAACCGGCCACTCTGGTTTGTTTATTTACCGGCTCCACAGCCACGGAGCCTCATGGCTCCCAGTGGCTACAGTTTGCTATTTGCAGCCAAGGGGAGCCGCGGGAAGCAGTGTGAGCCAGTCCTGGAGCCAATGGGAGCTGCGAGGCTCCATGACCACAGAGCCAGTAAGTAAATACACCACAGCAGCTAGTTAGCAGGTTTCTCAGAGTGGATCTGCAGACCACTTTGAGAAACAATGAATTAGAGGGAATATTGGTAGTGCCTGCCAAATTTTGAGAAACAGAGCTTGAAATTTAAGAAGGACAGGTGATTGCAAGTAAAAGGTAAACATTATTTTTATACATTTTAAAAACTGAAATACATTTTGCCTTGTAAGTTCATTGGAGCAGAGATCATGTCTACCTTTGTGTTTGCACATCAACTAACCAACAGGCCTCTGGATGCTCCCATGATATCAACACAAAAGTTAATAATGAATTTGTGCTTCATGTTGTTCACTGTATGCATGGTTTAATCTTATGTGAGTGATGTTTCATAATGTGCTAAGGTTACATTTAATGAAAAAGGTTTCCCAAACTACCTTCCTAGTAAAAGGGCAGAGTATTGGGTAGATTAGATACTATGCAGAAGTTGATAAGATAATGATATGTTTTTCTTTACTCAAAGGGGGACATATACACATGGGGCTAAACTTTTCTGTAGTGTAAGCCCCTGAATTCACACTGATGAACAATTCCATTAGGTTTTAATTCAGATCCCCTAAGATTTCCTTCAGTCTGAATTACCCTCCCCTACCTGCTTTAAAATTTGTTTAATTTCAAATGCTGGAAACACAATGAAGATGATTTATATTCTAGTTTCAAAACTGTGTTCCAGCTGGCAGCAATATGTAAAAGTCAGTGCATTGGAAAAACATGACAGACATGAATTTATCCACCATCTGCAAGCTTCCATGCGATACAAGCCAAATTTCCTGGCTATTTATTCATCTCTATAATGTTGTTGCTACCTAGAACTGCCAGTCTCACCAGGATTCTGATAAATAAGAATGCTTTCTTTCTGTTACCAACTTTAGATAACACTATAAACTATTTTTGCTTTTTAAAGTCGTGCATTTGTTTTCTCATAATAATGCATTGTTACATACAACCATCTGGCAGTGCTTTAAGTGGCTCTGATTATGCTGTAATCACAGCTGGCTAGAGTAACTTCATTTTGGTAAAACATTGTAGTTACATGACCTGACTCATTTCAATGCTTTAAAATGAGCACAGTATATAATTCCACATTAGATTCCATAAAACACCAGGAAGAAATGTAGGCAGCACTATATAATAAGAGGTAAATGGATAATTATTCCTTCATTGTGCAAAGCTGTGGGGTTTTTTTTTTGTTTGGTTGGGTTTTTTTTGGTTTGGTTGATTGGTTTTTTGTGGCTCACACTGGAATGGGGCCTTCCAAAGTTTATAATCCCTCTATATAAGTGGTGAGCAAACTGAGTCCCATGGGCCATATTTGACCCATCAAGATAATCTGATTGTGGGCCACAGTTTGCTCAGCTCTGATATAGAGGGATTATAAACTTTGGCTGATGTTGGTCATCTGCAGGCAATGCCTCCTGCAGCTCCCACTGGCTGTGGCTCTTTGTTCCTGGCCAATGGAACTGTGGAAGCAGCTCCTACATGGAAAGGAGCCACGGGGATGTGCTGGATGCTCCCCACCACACCCATTGGCTAAGAACAAGAGAACTGTAGTCACTGGAAGCGGCAGGGGGTGGTACCTGTGGGCAGCGAATGCCAGCAAAATGTCTTGCGGCTTGCAGTCACATTACCCTAGTGGGCTGCATGCAGCCTGTGAGCCACAAATTCCCCACCACTGCTTTATATAAACCTTGTCTGTATGTATATCTGAAAATCAGGGGCGGCCCGTCCATAGAGGCGAACTAGGTGGTCGCCTAGGGTGCCGAGTTAAGTGGGACGCCAAATTGTAGCGCAATATCATTGAGGGGTTTTGAGGTGGAGGCGCCGATTGCATGGTTTGCCTAGGGCGCCAGTTGCTGGCAGCTAGTCTAGGGCTGCCCCTGCTTAAAGTCCAGCCTGACCATAACCATGCTGACCTCACTGGAAGAGATAAGGACTCTGTTACTGATAATACAGTCATACCAGTCTTTAAAAATATCAGTTGCTAGTCAGAATTACAGTAGCGAGCATATGATAATGAGTGAACATAAGACCATTTACAGACATGGATATGTGGAAAATAACTGCATTGCTTTGCACAGTGATGAGATGTGAATAGATGTGCTTCTGATTCATCTCAGTATAGAGTGGTTATTGCCATTCACATACTGTTGCTGTTAACAATGTTTTGCCTGAGAGAGATAAGGCATTTAGTTGAGGTTACAGTTGATTCTGTTTTAACTTGACATGGAGGGACACAAATGACAAAAAGGTTACAGGGCCTCCCTATTACCGAGAAGACAAACAAACATATATCTGCTTGGTTGATTTTTTTTTGTTAGAATTATATTACTTGCTCCTACTGGTTGTGTCAATGGATTTGCTCTGTAATTGCTCAGAAAACACAGGCTGTATGTGCCCCCTTCACTTTGAGGCACACCACTAAACAAATGTAAGTGATAAAGGTCAGGAAAGTCTCAATAACTGCTGAAAACCTCGTCCATAGCCACTGTGCATGGCTGAAGCTCTGTTTGTTAGGGTTTGGGTACAGGTAGAGGAACAGCTGATTGGTGTAGCATGCTGTGGAATAATGTCTGGAAATTCTGACAGAAGTTAATGCAGAATTAAGTCTTTAGTTCACACTCCTGGACTCATGCCAAACTGTAGAATTTTCCAAACTAAGGGAGTCAATGCAGAGTGACAACAGGTCTCCATATGTGTGGGAACGAGGAGTGGGGGGGATGCTGCAGCAACCCCAGGCTTGCAGGGCCCCATGCCCAGGGGCTTCTTTATCACTAGGGCTCCCCATTCAGGGTCCCAGATGCTGGCCCCAGCTGCCAGCCCTCTGCTTCTTTTGCCTGGTTTCCTGGTCACCAGTGCTGTCCCAGCCCCACTCCCACCCCTACCACACTCCAGACCTGGCTAATCATTGTCCTGTGGGGTTTGAGCATTTCTGTTCATTTACTTCTTCTCCTATGGAGGGGAAGTTGTATAGTCATGTGAAGGTGGCAGCAAATTGCACCATGTCTTTTCAAGGAACTGTGCTGGGAGGAGCTTGGGGACTGACTTCTAGATCCTTTTGTGTTTGCCACTTGTCAGGGCCATTAACGTTGATGTAATATATTCTAGAGGGATTACATCATTTCAAAATTTGACTGGCTTCAATGGGGACAGAATTTCATCAAAGATAGTTATCAAGCTCAGCTCAGTTCAAAGTAATTCTGTGGCGCAATCACAAAGCACAAAAGCTTTAAATCTTCATTATAGGTAAATACAGCACACTAGGTATCTGCCTAGAATAGGGCTGAACAGTATGTTTGGCGGAGACCCTTCGTATCCATTTGTCACTCTTACCCATTCCTCTTTCTGTGGCATATTTCTACTTAGTGTAATAGTATTTTTCTCTGCTCTATCTTTCCTATCCCCTTTCATCATTTCCTTGAGAAACTCTTCAATGATGTGATAGTTTTGCTTATGACTGTTACCTTGGAGCTAGTACTTTATGATGAAGCATTTTTTGTCAAACATTAATTCCAGGGAAAGAGCTGAATCTGATTACACGTCATCCAGGAAGTGAAGTGGTGACAAAAAATCATTGTAATTGTAGCATAGACATGTTGATAGGTTCTTATGAGATTTAGTGTAATATTTCAGTTTCATTCAATGTGGGGAAATGGTGATAAGAACATATGAACGGCCATAGGTCAGACCGAAGGTCAGTCCAGCCCAGTATTCTGTCTGCAACAGTGGCCAGTGCCAGGTGCATCCAGGAAGTGAAGTGGTGACAAAAAATCATTGTAATTGTAGCATAGACATGTTGATAGGTTCTTATGAGATTTAGTGTAATATTTCAGTTTCATTCAATGTGGGGAAATGGTGATAAGAACATATGAACGGCCATAGGTCAGACCGAAGGTCAGTCCAGCCCAGTATTCTGTCTGCAACAGTGGCCAGTGCCAGGTGCCCCAAAGGGGGTGGACCAAAGACAATGATCAAGCAATTTGTCTCCTGCCATCTTTCTCCAGCCTCTGACAAACAGAGGCCAGAGGCACCATTCCTTACTCCTCTCCCCCGGCTAATTGCCTTTTATGGACCTAGTCTCCATGAATTTATCTAACTCTTTTTTAAACTCTGTTATAGTTCTAGCCTTCACAGCCTCCTCTGGCAAGGAGTTCCACAGATTGACGGTGCGCTGTGTGAAGAAGAACTTTCTTTTATTAGTTTTAAACCTGCTACCCATTAATTTCATTTGGTGTCCTCTAGTTCTTCTATTATGGGAACTAATAAATAACTTTTCTTTATTCGCCCTCTCCACACCACTCATGATTTTATACACCTCTATCATATCCCCCTTC